GTCCAGACTAGCGGTGAGCCGACAAATAGCTGATCAACTGTTTGTCGGCTCAGCGCGGCAGCCATGTAAATGTAAATGAAGCCGCGATCATTTAAATTGCGGCTTCATTTACCTTTGCTGAACAAACAAATCTACATGCCTCTGCCAACAGAGGCATGTAGTGTAGACGTACCCTCACTGTCTGGGGGCCCATTCAGGAGTTCGTGATGCTGCAGGAGTATGGCGTTCTGTTCTTGAAAAAGACATGTAAAAAAAAACGGCACCAGCCTATCTCTAACTAGTACAGGGAAAAAGACAAAGGAGATAGCAGAGTTGTCCTGATTAGGATAACGCCATTTGGAGGATGACTCGTGAAATCTGGCATGTCTTAATTTATTAGTTAAAAAACTACTATCAAGCAATGCTGGAGGTTGAAAAAAGCCACCCTCTTTCAAAAAGAGGTTCTCATATGTGGTGCAATGTGTATACACTGCTGCTGAGTTCATAATGTCTGCCACTTTTGCCTTCACTTAGGCATATGTTAAGGATATTAGAGAAACAGCCTGGGTAAGATAATATCTTTTATTGGACCAATTTTTCTTGGTCTCCTGTCTCTCTCACCCACAGAAGTTGGTCCAATAAAAGGTAACTAGGGGTCTGCACTTACTGCTCGCTACACTCGCCAACCCCTCTCTCGTGGGGGGTAGGCAACTCCGGTTAACCCGCAGCCACCAAGGAGGGCTACAGCAGCCTCTCTCCCCCCTTCCCCATCTTCAGCCGTGCCAACCTAGGTCCCTTCTCTTTCTCCCGGCCATGCCAGTGTGGGCCCCTTTCCCATCCCCAGCCATGCCAGCCCAGATCCCTTCTCTCTCCCCCGGCTGTGTCAGCTGGGCCCTTTCTCCCTCTCTGCCTACGCCAGCCCAGGCCTGTTTGCCCTCCCCTGGCCATGCTAGCCCAGGCCTTTTCTCCTTCTTTGTCTCCCCACCACCAACTGTGCCCCTCCAAGCCCTTTTAACCGCCCCCCCCAGCTGCACCCCCCTGGGCCCTTTCTCCCTCTCTGCCCCTACCCGTGGCCGCCCCAGCCCAGGCACTTTCTCTTTCTACCCCAGCCACACCAGCCTGGGACCCTTTTCCCCTCGCTGTACCCCCCAGTCCTTTTCTCTCTCCTGCTCCCAGCCATGCCCCCCCGAGCTCTCTTACCTTCCACCCCCTCTTCAGCTGTGACCTAACCCTAATCCCATCCCTCTCAGCCACAGCGGGCCCAGCTCTCTCCCCCGGGGCTTCTGGGGGAGGGGATAGAGGGGGCCACTCACAGGCCCTACACTCTTCCCCCCCACCAACAGGGGGAGGGGGCCCACTCATAGGCCCCACACTTTTTCTCCTGGCTGCCAGGGGAGAGAAGGGGGACCGCTTGCAGGCCTCATGCTCCTCCCCCCGAACAACAGCTGAGCACCAGAGAGGACTGAGGCCCCACACAGCAGTTGAGAACTAGGGAAAGGAAGGAGGGAGGAAGGGGCTGCAGGAGGCAGAGTGATGTGATGACATCACACTGTCATCCTGCAGGAAAAGGTTTTTTATAGAGAGAAAGAGTTTACCAACCTCATCACTACTGACTTCAGTCACTAATCATATAAGTTAAAGGAAAAATATTTCTAAGTATTTAAAGAGAGGAAGCAAATAAGAGAGCTGACTACAAGACACAGCACAAAGAAAAAAGGATTGCTTGTAAATGTTTCTTTTACCCAACACAAGCACTTCATCTTCTCAGCTTTCTTCAGCTAAATATGTAGATAATGTGACAAGCTGACTAAGTCAAGTTGCTCATAGAGGAATCATTAATTATTTACAGTTGTTCAATCTGCGCTGATACAGTAAATGCCCCAGAGGGACATGCAGGTTGGATAGACATCTATCAGGGATGATCTAGGTTATGCTTGGTCCTGCCATGAGGGCAGGGGACTGAACGATCGCTCAAGGTTCTTTCCAGTTCTTTCCAAAGACAGCTGAAAAGAAACGATCACCAAATCCAGAGTGATTGTAAAGTAGGAAGTGAACTATAGCAGTTTGGAACTAAAGACACCAGTGTAACTATTGATGAAATCCTGATGAATGGAGTGTTGCACAGAGTAGAAAGCTACACTGAGGAGATAGAGGCACACCTAACTAAGAAGCAGAGTACAAAAAATTTCAAATATCACAAATTTTGTACGATTTACCATTTTAATAAAATATAGTCTGAAATTAGTGGTCACATCTTATCCTGGAGAGTAATTATACTTGAGGGCACATGGAACAATGTAATGAATAATGCATAAGTTTCAAGGCTTCATTAGCATAGAGACATTCTTGTAGGAGGAAGCATTGGAAGGTAATTTTTTAAAACAGCTTCTTGTTGGCCATTCCAATGGGTATTTTACTAGCGATGCTAGCTCCTGTGTCTGACTGTGCAGAGCTTTGCTGCAAGATGCTCAGAGACTCTCTGAAGGCAGGGAGGTGGAGTGGCCTAGCAGATACAGCATTTGCCCGGGGAGTGCAGAGTTGAGGGCTTGAGACCCTCTGCCCACCCTGGGAGCACCCAGACAGCCAATACTGACTGCTCACAAGAAGTCATTCTTCTGCTCTACTCTGCACTGATTAGGTCTCAATTGGAGTATTGTGTCCAGTTCTGGGCACCACATTTCAAGAAAGATGTGGAGAAATTGGAAAAGGTCCAGAGAAGAGCAACAAGAATGATTAAAGGTCTAGAGAACACGACGTATGAAGGAAGACTGAAATTGGGCTTGTTTAGTTTGGAAAGGGGACATGATAGTGGTTTTCAGGTATCTAAAAGGGTGTCACAAGGAGGAGGGAGAAAAATATGTTTTCTTTGGCCTCTGAAGATAGGACAAAAAGAAATGGGCTTAAACTTCAGCAAGAGAGGTTTAGGTTGGACATTAGGAAAAACTTCTTAACTGTCAGGATGGTTAAATACTGGAATAAGTTGCCTAGGGAGGTTGTGGAATCTCCATCACTGGAGATATTTAAGTGCAGGTTAGCTAGACATCTATCAGGGATGGCCTAGATCAGTGTTTCTTAAACTTTTTAAGACTGAGGAACACCAAACAATATATATTTTTTTTAAATGGGGAACACCAAGGATTCTTTTTTCAAGAAAAAAAAACCCCGGCCCCCAGGGAAAATTTGTCGAGCAAAACAAAAATAACCACCGGACCAGGAGAGAAGGTAGAGGAGGGTCTCGGGGTAGGGTGTCAGGCCAGAAGGGAGAGTAGAGGAGGGGACTTGGGGCAGGGAGGGTGCAGAAGGAGACTTGGGCCAGGGTGTCAGTGTCAGAGCAAGCTGGGAATGCGGGGTTTTGGCAGGGGGAAGGGAGTGAGGGGGGTCTGGGCATCAGGGGGGATGCTTACCTGGCTTGGCACCCTGCTGCAGCAGGGAAAGCCTCCAGGGAGCATGCTCTTGTTCCTCAGGGGGGAGGTGGGGTGGGTTGTGGAGAGCTCAGTCAACACTCCCTTCCCCTCCTCCCCCCATGCAGTAGGGAGTCTAGCGCAGCTGCAGCACCAGGCCAGGCTTCCCGCTGGCAGGGGAAGAGTAGAAACTCCAACCGTCCCCACCAGATGAAACTCTGCCACTTCCCCAGCAGGCTGGGGAGGGGTGCAGGAGAGAAAGAGCAGCAGTGCATGGGGGGCAGCAGAGCCCAAGCGTGCCCCGTGGGGGGGTACGGGCAGCAGAGCCCGAATGCGACGCATGTGGGGGGGAAGGGCAGTAGAGCTTGAGCCAGGTTCCCTGGAGGCACCAGTTTTAAAACGCCGAGATCCGGAAGCAGCTCCTCATCTCCGGCCACCTTTCCCCCTCCCAGCGGCCGCTCCTCATCTCCGGCCACCGCTCCCCCTTCCAGCAGCAGTGGCCTCTGTAAAAGCAGCCGCCTGCACACGTGGAGGAGGAGGAGGCTGCGCAGCAGCAGAGGGCCGTCCTGAGGGCTAGGGGGAGACAGGACTCTGCAGGGGGTGAGGGAGCAGAATTTTTTCTGTTTTCTCCTCGGCACACCTCTGACTGTCTCTGTCGCGGAACACAGTTTAAGAAACGCTGGTCTAGATGATACTGGGTCCGCCATGAGGGCAGGGGACTGTACTCGATGACCTCTCAAGGTCTCTTCCAGTTCTAGTGTTCTATGATTCTGACAGAGGTGGGCTGATTGTCTGTTTCACCAAGGCCTAAGGGGATCTGATTACCACTAGCAGTGTGAAAACTAACCAGACTCCTTTTATCTTCATTCTGCTGCTGCTTGGCAGAGGTCTGCACAGCAGTTGTGGCTGTGAAAGCATCTCCCTACAGTCACAGAGTGAAATACTTTCCAGTCTTGTTATTCAATCAAGCTATCTTAGCATAACTGAATAGCTTTGTTAAAAGGGCCATCTCATGCTGTCATTCCAGCAGCTGACAAACTCAAACGTTCAAAAATCAAAAATCGTGTCCCTACCCTCACACTGTGACATCATGTTTTCAAATCCGTTTTAAGGTAAATTCAGCTCTGGTTTCTAGGCTAGGGCGCAGGCGGAGCCATTTTTAAAGCTTTGCTCCACTGCCCGAGGATTAAATGCTCTTTTGGTAGAAACTGGAATGGTCACAAAATCCCAAGAATCCAGGAGCTGGGGCTTCATGAAAA